CATAGGTGTCAAACTCAGGTCCTGGAGGGCCGCTGTCCTGCATGTTTTCCAAGTTTCCCTGTTGCCACACACCCGATTCAAATGATCATATCATCAGCAAGCTCTGTGGAAGCCTGACATTGAATCTGTTCATTTGAATCAGGTGTGCTGCAACAGGGAGACTTGGAAAACATGCAGGACAGCGGCCCTCCAGGACCTGAGTTTGACACCTATGCCTTAGGGACTCCGTATCATAGCATAAACATGGGAGCACAAAATAAGGTCCAACCAATTACTATAACTAGCTGCCACTCTAAACCTCTGTTCACAACTGCTTACCTTGTCCATCTATAGTGCACTTGTTGGGGTCCAGAGGCTTAAAGTGGATTACGCCCACCACTGGGTAGCCGCTCACCTCACCTGCCAGGCCCCGAGGATCAAAGCGAATACCGCTGCCATCATCGGGGACGAGTGCAGCCAGCTGGTCATCGCAGCTGCTCTCTGCCAGGCTGCTCAACCTCCTCAGCGTCACACCCTTAGTGCTGAGAATCTCTGCATCCGAGCCACAGCTCAGCAGCCTGTCGGCGAAGTCCACGCCACCATGGACATCAGACAGCGCCTGTTGCAGCTGTGCCCTCTGCAGATGCAGCTGATTCCTGTCACACAATGGGAATGACTCCTAAATTAACTTTCTTCAAGTTGTCATCCAGCATGGCAACACTCAAAACAATTTACAGCATATCAAAGTCCAAGATATCATTAAGAATGTCAACTTCCAACATATCATCCAGCAGTCCAGCATACAACATATCAGGATCCAACATGTAATCCAGCATTTCTATCCCAACATTTGATTTAGTATGTGAATGTCAACATGTCGTTCTGTCATTCAGCATGTCAAATTCCAGCATGTCAATGTACAATCTGTCATATACAGTGAAACTCCTCTACAACGAAACCTACATGGGCGTAAACACCCCCTAATGTGAAAAAATTTTCATGCTCCCCCTATGACGAAAAATCCCCGTTCCGTTATACGAAATCTTTTCCTCTGCTCTTGCCTCGCAACGAGATTCACTACAGTGAAAACAAGCCTTCCGCAAAAGTCTAATCCAACAGCGATCTCTACTGCTTCGTTCGGAAACGGCAACAACAACCACCACACTGGTTTACACATGGCAGTAGTCCAGGAAGTATTTGTTATTCTTAGTTTCAGACGCAGCAAGAACGTTGCATTGCTAAAATGGCTACAAAACGGACCTTTGGATGTCAAGCAGCTAGGACAAGAAGAGCTCTGATGCTGGAAGAGAGGGTAAAAGTGATCAAAATGAAAGATGGAGGAAGCAAAATAAAAGACATTATCCAAGAAATTGATGTAAGTGAAAGTGACTGCTGATCGTAAATTTCGCAATTTCTTTCTTTTTCACGAATGGATAGAAATTTTGAATGTTGCTTTACAACATAACGAAAAAATGTAACTGATTTTTGGGTGTTTTTTTTCTTAGTTTTGTATCATTAATTTATTAATTACATGAGGGGGAGGATTCTGATGATAAAACACCTGAACCCAGGTCCCTGAGAGACAGTCTCAGCAATATTACAGCACTCATTGAAGATGTTAAAGGCAGAGGAAACATGGAATGGCTGAGTACAGCACTAAAACTCAGAGACCTGATCCAAGAAGAAAAATTGAGAAGTGTTGGGACGCAAAAGAGTATAAATGACTTTTTAAAACCAACAAAGTGGAGTGATTAATATAAAACAATTGTGTGTCAATGTTAAACAATATCAAATAAGTGTATGCTCATATTTATGCACTATGTACAGTGTTGGAATAAAAATAAAGAGTACACACATGTTGTGTGTGTGTGTGTGTGTGTGTGTGTGTGTGTGTGTGTGTGTGTGTGTGTGTGTGTGTGTGCGCGCGCGCGCGCGTGCGTGTCTTTACATCTGAGATCAAATTTGCTACAGTGAAAAACCACCTGTTGTGAAAGATTTCTTGCTGCAAACATGATTTCGTTGTAGAAGAGTTTCACTGTAGCATGTCATCCAACAAGTCATCCAGTATGTCAGCATCCGACATGTAATCAAGCATGTCAGCCTCCAGCATGTTATCGAGCAGGTCATACGTTCTAGTTTGTCAACATGTCTTGCAGTATTCGAACACAACATATCAGTGGTGTCAGGTCAAAACCTCGAATGTCACATTTTAGTAAAGTTCTTTTTCTTCCCCGTAAATCTATACAATTACTCAGTCTACACGTAGTGGGTGTTATTTTCACAAATTATTGACCAATCTTAAGTGTTAGCTTGCGCTCTTTGACGATAATATTAATGGTTTAAAAGATATGGCGTTTTGAAGGTGTACTGAAAAGTGATGATTTAGCAAGTAAAAGGCTTCTGTCTGATGCCAGCCATATCAAAATTTCATCCTCATCAAGCATGTTATTGTCTGACATATACTGTGACATGTTAAAGGGGAAGTCAAGTCAAACTTTTTTCAATAATATTCTCCAAGCCTCGCCACTCATCTAAACATGGCATTCTGCTTAATATTGCATTTGTGGAATATGAAGGAAACCACCCGTTTTTATCCATCTCAGGGGGCGGCCATTTTGCCACTTGGCTGTCGACTGTAGTCCAGTGGGGAATTGTCATATAAGTGTACAGTGAATAGTACAAAAGATGATCTGAGCTGTATTTTCTGGCACCAGCTGAATCAGGCTGTTTGAGAAATAACTGCTTTGCTGCTGCAGCATATCAGAGTAAAATGTAACGCAGCATCAATGAAACCCATTCATCCAATATCCAGCACCTCATCTCAAATGTCATCCAGAAGCATCTTCCAGCATGTTAATGCGTAACATGTCTTTTAGCATATGCTATGACATCTCAACAGCCAATCCAGTATGTCATCATATCATGCAACATGCCATACAGTATGTGATCCAACATGTTAACCAGCATCTGTGATCTATCATCCAACATGTCATACTTCATACATGTCAACATCTAGAACGTCACTCAACATGACATGTTGGATCTTGGCAAATATGTCATTCAGTATCAACATCCAGCATGGTTCATCGTGTTGGTATCATACTTGCGTTGGATGTGAAGCTCCTCTAGGCAACGCAGTAGGGCGAGGCAGTGAGCTTCCACCGCACTGGCGTAGCCTCGAGCAAATGCCCTCACCTCATTGGCTGTGGCCTCCACTCTTGTCTGCAAAGCCTCCTGGGAACCCTCCACCTGGAGAAGATTATAAATATTAACAAATGAAACAGAAGGTGCCAAAATCAACTTGTCACACCTTTTGCAGTGTCTGCTCCAGTCTTTGCAGGCGAGGTCGCAGGCGGACAGTGACCAGTGTCCTGATGTGGTCTCCGTGGCAGCCAATTACCTCATGGGCGGGACTGCAGCGGTGCTCGGAGTGGAGAGTTGCGGCGCATTCCAGGCATACTGGTAGGTCGCAGGGTTGGCAGAAGAGGCGCAGCTCCTGTCCAGGATGGAAGGCACACAGGACGGGACGACAGAGGCGACCCTGAGACTTGAGATCCTGTAATTGCTGAATGGAGTGAGACGCTGTACGCGTCTGACGCCTGTCAATGACAGCATCAATGTAGATCAGTGATTCCCAACACATAGAGTACTGTGAGTATTCAATTAAAAAGACCAAAATGTAATAGCAGGTAAGTAATTAGTGATTAAATCATCAAGATCATCAGACAAAAATCATCGTATCAACAGTTATACAATTTTTTTTGGTGGTGAACTGTGAGATTTTTGTCATGCAAAATATTGTGTCTTGGCTCAACAACGGTTGGGAAACACAAATGCTCAATCGGAGCCCAATCAAAAATGATGGTTCGACTGTATTAAAGTCAAGATAACTTTAGAGGTACAGTATTTATGTAACAATGTGTTTGTTTTTGAGCTTGTACAGCAGCAGCACAATGACAACAGTTTCTAATATTTTCTCAGTCGTTATCTTTAACTTAATGATAGTTTTATTTGCTTATTATAACTAACCTGAGCAGATAAGAACATTGTATTTACATGTTGATAAGTAGAACATGATGTAGAAAGGTTCTACTGCAGTAGTAGTTGAAAAGAATAGTCACCAAATTACAAGTGATTAATTTCTTGATTAATTTTGCGCAAATAGTAATAATGATTATAATAATAAATAATACATGTTCAACTACATTTGGGAAAGCATCCTAAAAACGCCCCGACTAAACTAACTGAATGAAATTGCAATGTTTCATTTTGCCTTGCGTTTAAAGCTCTCATTATGAATTCATGTTTGTTATGTTTTGTGAATATTAATTGAACAGGTGTTATGCTTTCATCGCCAGATTGTGTACAAGATAAGCTACTTTCTTAGCAAAGAGAAAAGGCAAGGAAAATAGTCTAATGTTCATGTGGAATTAATGGCGTTGTTGAAGTTATCGTTTTATCATCGAATGCAAATGTTAATCACGACAGTGTCTCTTTTGTTTACTTGTCAATAGAGTTTTGCAATAAAGATTGTCTTAAAAAAAACAAAAGTTAATGCGGAAGTACAAAGTAGAAGAAGAAAGTAAAGTCGGAGCAAATAGTCGTAAATGAAGTACCTGTGAGCTTGAAAACAGAACTCACACAAGTTGACACAGCAGATCTCACAGCGGCTCTCAGCCCGTCCTTCGCCGCACAGGTCACACCCAAGTGGGCCGTTGCGAACCAGGGTCTCGAGAAAGACTTCGTCTAACGCCAAGTGGTCCGTGGTTAACCCGGCAGGCCCCGAAGGCGGAAGGTCCACCTCCGAGTCACAGTCGGGGCAGAGCACCGTGACGGTGATCGGTGCGGCTTTCTCTTTCGGAGTTTCCCCGTCGCTGCCCTTACGTTCTGGGGCGTCCCGGTTGCGACCAGCGTGAACCGAAAAGGGCTCCAAGTGGCTGATACAGTCCAAGCAGAAGGTGTGCAGGCACGGCAGGATTTTCGGCTCCCGGTACAAGCGTTTACACACGCTACAAACCGCCCTGGGGTTCGCAGGCAGACCGTCTTGTGCGATTGCCACAGTTGTCGTCAGCTGTTCGCAATGATCTTTTTCTTCGGACATCGTTGGTGCCGACAAAAACAAAACAAACTTTGCGACCAAACTTGTTCAAAAGACAACAGTGCTGAAGGAGAATCTTTGATATGCACACAGTAACTCACGTGAAACTTTACAATCAAAACAAAAACACATTTTTAACTTGCCTTCATCCGTTAAAACGCCACCGGAATGCAGTCCTTGATGCTTCCATGGCTCCAATGGGACATACGACACCGCTTCAGCGGTGGGCCAATGGAAGGGCGCCGGGGTCCAGCAGGGGCGGTCCGAACACTTTTAGGTACCCCCACCAAACATGCCCATACCGGCCCTCTTTTCTGGCAGGACTGAACGAAGCAAATTGTCACACTATATTTACACACAAAAACGGACTTTTTACAAGTTCTGTTGTTTCTTTTTAGAATTATTCCAAGCACTGTTAAACTCATGTGAAAATTATGCACGGAATGAAAAATGCATGAAACGTTCAATGATAAACCTCACTCAAAGTTGAATAAAACAACAAAACTCCTGTGGCACATTTCAATTTAAGCTGTAGTTCGCAGTGCCATGAAGGGAGATCGCCAAGCTGTCTTCAGCGAGGAGCGGAGGGCTGGCCAGCGGATGTGTTGACCACCTGTAGAGTGCGGCGGGCCTCTGCGCACCAGTGTCCTACCATGGCCAAGCCATTCCAGGCCGACCTGGAGCCTGTTCCGGCGCACCACAGCGTGGGAAGTGCGCCTGGCTGACGGCCGCCATTCCACGGGGCGGGAGTCATTCTCTCCAGATTGTCCCGACGTTTCTCCATTTTCTGTTGTCTCTTCTATTATTTTCTTCTCTTTTCTTTCTTACCGCTATTTTTTATTTTTCTTTTTCGTGCTACCGCTATTTTTATTTTTATTCTTCGTGACAGGGGTTCACTTTGGCCTGGGGAGTCAAGTTCAGCATTCGCTTCAATGATATCTGGCGCCATCTAGCGTCGTGAATG